CCCTCTCAACCTCCTGCACAGGCTCGGGCTCCTTCCCTACCAGCGAGGTGACATTCCATGTCCCCAGGGCTAGTCTCCAAAGGTCTTTTAATTTTATGAATTTACAAAACACTCCAAAAACCTGTTTTGTTATTGTGGAGCACAATAGTGTGTGTGTGTGTGTGTGTGTGTGTGTGTAGATTGAGACAACGCATGAATTTAATCCATTTTAAAATGAGTCTGAAACATAACAAAATGTGAAAAACTTGTCTGAACACTTTCTGTACTGACTGTAATTTGACTAACGAACTAAGGACAGAAGAATAGTTACCATCAGCTCCACCTTTACCAGCTGCAGCATTAAAGCGATGGACATCAGCCACTATGATCCAGTATCAGAGACGTTACTGGGACACGGCCCGTTCTGCAGGACGAGTACTGGTACTGATGGTACTTCTAGTATGTTTGGATGCTGATACTTTTGCACTTTTACTTTAGTATTTTTACACTGTGGTCCTGCTACTTTTATTTGCATAAAGTAGGAATGGAGCTGATGAAAACAACTGCAGTGACCACACATCTGTGCTTCAGTGTTTTTCTTGTCTGTCGTGGCTCTGATCACAGCCTTCTCTCTGTTAGCACCGACGCCATGCAGAGTCATGGAGTTTCGCTGCAGAAACGGCCAGTGCGTGTCGTCCTCCTCTGTGTGTGATAACATGAATGATTGTGATGACGGCAGCGACGAGACTTCCTGCCCGCCCGTCACCTGCAGTGCTGTGGGGTTCCAGTGCACAAATGGGGCCTGTATTCCCCGCCTGTGGGTCTGTGACGGCGACATCGACTGCCCTGATGGCTCGGACGAGTGGCCTCAGAACTGCACTGCAAAGCGCCGTGCGAGAGGCAAGTGCTCGTCCTCGGAATTCCACTGTAACAGTGGAGAGTGCCTCCCTATCATCTGGAGGTGCGATGGAGAGGCTGACTGCGTTGACCAATCGGACGAAGCCGACTGCGGTGAGAACGACTCCAAAACTCCACTGTCCTCAGTATCAAGGCATCATCTCTTGGACTCATAAACAAATTCCTGCATGTTGCATCCTTTCAGTTCGTATCACCTGCCACCCTGATGAGTATCAGTGTGGTGATGGCACCTGTATCCCTGGTATCCGTCGGTGCAACCAACAGTACGACTGCAAGGACCTGAGTGATGAAACGGGCTGTGTCAATGGTATGAATCGCCTCCCCCCATTCCCTGCCTGCTTACTGGAAACTAAATGAATCACATAGTTTCTAACCTGTGCCTCTGTTACCTGATCCCATGTTTTGTTTCCTTGTGTCATGCTCAGCGACCCACTGTGACGCCCCCAGCAGGTTTAGGTGCAGAAGCGGGGAGTGCATTAGCATGGAGAGGGTGTGTGACGGGAGGCGGGATTGCAGGGATTGGTCGGACGAGCCTCTGAGGGATTGTGGTGAGAACAGATTCTCATTCTCAGCTGCCTGTGTCCTTAATGTGTCTGCAGCATCAGAGCACTAGTTGTATCCTCAGATAAAGGCTATTTGTTCTTCCTTTGTAGGCTCCAACGAGTGTCTGTACAACAACGGTGGCTGTTCTCATATTTGCAATGACCTGAAGCTTGGCTACGAGTGTCTGTGTCCTGCTGGGTATAGCTTGGTTGATAGAAAACGCTGTGAAGGTATCAACCTCCCACACAGTTATCAGAAATAATCCAGCATCCTCTTTGTGCTCTCTCATGAACCTGATGCCTGTAATCTGTTTACACTGACGCGCAGACTGCACCGTCAGATACAGAGGGATGTCATCACTTTCATGGACACAGTGGCTCCTCTTTCGTTACACTGTCACTGTTTGACTTGTTTATCAGATATCGATGAGTGTGCCAACCCGGACACCTGCAGCCAGATTTGCGTCAACCAGATCGGCAGTTACAAATGCCAGTGTGAGGAGGGTTACCAGGTCGACCCGGCCACCAACACCTGCAAGGCCGTCGGTAAGTCGGCCACTGATAATTTTGCCAGAGCTGTTTTAGAAAAGAGTTTGTATACCTCAGTTGGACTTACCCTGGTAAAATGAAGGTTAAATAAAATAATAAAAGTATTAGTATTTTGTGTTTATTAGCCGTCCCTGGTAGGTTAGTGGTTAAGGCGCAGAGCTCTCGCTTCAGTTTGACTTTAAACATTCACATGAATGTCCTGATAATCAAACTTTACAGGTACCATAGCCTACCTTTTCTTTACTAACCATCATGACATCAGGATGATGACTCTGGACAAAAGTGAATACACAAGAGTAATCCCCCGTCTAAAGAACGTTGTAGCTCTGGACATGAACATGGCCACCAAAGAAATCTACTGGTCAGACCTCTTCCACAAGAAGATCTACAGGTGAGCGCCAATGAAATCAGATGAGAATATGGCGTTTCCTTTCCACCTGCCTGACACAGCTCTTCACTTTGAATCCAGAGCTCAGATAGACTCGGCTGAAGACTCCGCTCATCACACCGTAGTGATCGGCAGCGATGTCGGTGCTCCTGAAGGCATCGCTTTTGACTGGGTCCATGGTAACCTGTACTGGACTGACAGCATCCGCAGCACCATCTCCGTGGTAACTGCTGATGGCAGCCGCCGAAAAACATTGTTTCACCAAGGCTTATCGAAGCCCCGTGCTATCGTGGTCGACCCCCACAGCAAGTGAGCCTAACAGCACTAAAAGAAGAACAGTAATGTCAGTAATTTGACTAAAGCTAACAAAAATCAAATAGCCAAAATTTGACTGAAACTAAAACAGTTCCATCAAAAGATTAAAAATCAAACTCAGGTGCTAAATGTAACAGTGGTCAACGGTCCAAATGAAACAGTGCATTTGACTATTTTAATTAACATAATTTTTCCACCTCCCAGCTTCATGTACTGGACTGACTGGGGGAATCCTGCCAAGATAGAGAAGGGAGGACTTAACGGAGTAAACCGCACCGCCCTGGTCACTGACGACATCATGTGGCCTAATGGCATCACACTCGGTAAACATCCAGGTCTCTCTGGTGCCAAGCTGTTTCTGTCCTGTGCTGACTCTGGTCTGACCTGCGGACTCCCGCCTGCTTCTCCCCTCAGACCTGTTGAACCAGCGGCTCTACTGGGTGGACTCTAAGCTGCACACCCTCTCCAGTATTGACATGCAGGGCGGAGGTCGACGCACCCTCATCTCTGACAAACACAAGCTGGCTCACCCACTGGGGCTCACTATGTTTGAGGTAGACATTTATCACCTGATAAACTCTGTCAAATACAACATACCCTAAACTAGGGCTGAGCAATACATTTTGTGGCATTTCGACCCCAGATCACTTTTTTCACAGTGTGCATTACGTAGGCCGGAAGCATTTCCGAGTTGTGTTGTTACATATTGTATATTGAATAATGTATTTTGTAAGATTTTATTGGTTTATTTTAATTGGATTTTTGACAAACACATATTGTCTTGAAGCTACTCTACCCAATCTCTTCTCCATCAGTGGGTCTAGTGAGACAAACAGTTACCCCATTAAACTGCTCCTAACTGCCCTTTGCCCTTCCCAACACGTCCTGTTTCCTGAATATATGACATGAACTGCAGATGCCTATTTGGGACAAATTGTACAAGAAGTAGCCTTCAGTCTAAAGCTAGCGTTAGCTGGCTAACAGTAAACATGTCAGTCCAATAGAACACTCTGGTTACTGCTGATGTGACCCAAAGCTCCAGTTCCTCCCAAATTAAAACCATATTAATTCAACACAAAGGTAAAATCCTGACCATGCTAGGTGGCTAATGCTACCAAAACAAACAGCTTAGCTTTAGATGCTAACACATCCAGAAGGAAGAAGGCCACATCTGGATCCAGTCTGAGTCCTCTGGCTGCTTTTAACCCTCTCCATGTCAAACAGCCAAACCCATGTTAACCCTGGTTGTTGCTCTTTCTTTGTCCCACTCTCTCTGTGCTAAAGACGCCACCTCTTCACTCTGACAGCTGCTGGTTCAGACTTTTAGCTGCCCAGAGCTCCTCCATGGCTGTTTGACATGACTACTGGTTGGAAAAACCCTTCTTCTAACCTTGGCTAGGCGGCAGGCGGGGCTGATTTACAGACCATACTTTGACAACACAGGGTGGAGAAGCTGGAATAATAACAGGAGGCTGTAGGCAGCAGAGGGTCATGGAGGGGGGGTGTAGCTGGGAAGCACCAGGTCCTGTCCCACTGTCACTGGGGTTAGCAGACAATGTGGATGCACCTTTAAGCTTGAAGCCAAAAAATTTGCTTATGGAATAAAGTCTGTCCTGCATAACAATTATTAGTGCTCCTACTTTTATTTTCCAAGTACCTATTCTTGTATACCTTTTTTTAAAAATACAAGTATGTTTTGTGCAGTGGAGGTTCCCTGATAGACTAGTGGTTAGGGCACAGCGCTCTCGCCGCTGTGGCCCAGGTTGTAGTCAGGGTTGCGTCAAAGAAGGCCATCGAGCATAAAATATGTGCCAAATGTCACACTGACGATTCGCTGTGGTGACCCCTAGTGGGAAAAAGCCTAACATGACTTTCATTCATTCATATTTTGTGCAGTGGAGCAGACTTTCTTGCAGTTTAAGCCTGTTAACTTTGGCCTACTGGATCCACATCCTCTATTTTGAAGGTCACTGAATCCAAACATCGGGTTTCATACAAAAACCCATCGTATGAACAGATTTGTTCTTCAGGTGCACATGTGAGAGAGCTGAGAGAATCAGATTGCAATGCTCCTCACTACTCCTGTTCTCAGTCTCTTAAATGCTCAAGCTTTGTTGCTTTTGTGCTTTCAGGAGAGAGTGTTCTGGACAGATGTTAGTAACAATGCCATCCTCAGTGCCAACAGGCTGACGGGTGGTGACATAGCACCAGTGGCGGAGCACTTATTGTCACCAGAAGACATTATTCTCTACCATAACCTCAAACAACCTGCAGGTACTTACACCACTAAAATGCTATCGTGAAACATGTGCTAAAGATTAGATTTATTTCTTGTTTATTTGGTTAACATTAGCCAACATTAGCTAACATTGGCCCTGTTGGATTGGACCTACAACACAGATGCCCTGTACAGGAATGGCCAGAGCTGCCTCCACTTGTTGAGGGGACTGAGGTTCTTTGGTGTGAGGGGGGCACTCCTTTGGACATTTTATGATTCTGTGGTGACATCTGCAGTTTTTTACGCTGTTGTGGGCTGGGCAGGAGGTAGCACGGTCAGGGACAGGAAGAGACTAAACAAGCTGGTTAAGAGAGCTGGGTCTGTCCTGGGCTGCCCTCTGGATTCCATCGAGGAGGTGGTGGACAGAAGGATGCTGGTAAAACTAACATCCATCATGCATAACCTCTCCCATCCCCTGCACCACACAGTAGAGGCTCTGAACAGTTCTTTTAGCACCAGACTGTTACATCCCCAGTGTAAGAAGGAGCTTTAGCGTAGGTCGTTCCTCCCCACAGCTATCAGACTGTACAACACATCACTGCAGTGATAAGCTAGGTGAAATTATGAGGGACTATGTAATAATCTACTGTGTTTCAATATTCAGCTCCTGGGGGTGAAATGCATATTGTTCTTGATTTCCTGGTTGTTTAGTCTCTACTGCTGTTCCTGATTCTCTCCAGTGCTGCTTTGCCCTGTTTTTAGGTGCCTTTGATTTGCTTATTTGTGCTGTGTAAAATGTAATGTTCTGATGATGCTACTTTTATAATCCTTGTGTGCATCGGTTCTGATGCTTTGTTTCCTTTATGTAACTTTTTATTTTAAGACTAAGTGTTCTTTGTTACTACGTACTTACGTACGCATGCGCCGCGCGGAGTGGCAGGAAGTTACAACAGCTGTGTCCTCGTTGTGTTCTTTTCCGTGTTTCTATGAAGTTCTATTCTTATGGTGTTAGGTTGGTTGTTCTCTATTGCTGCTGTAACACAGAAATTTCCCCACTCTGGGATCAATAAAGTACCTACTCTACTCATTAGTATCAGAACCTTTGTGGCCTCTGATATGAATTTTCATATCAGATGGATAATGGTCTTTTACTCTTCAAACACTCTTGTCCACCAATTTGTTCGAATATCGGTGCCTGCAGTCCACATGTTGAAGTGTCCTTGTGAACCCCCCTCGTTGCCCCCGATGGTTAGAGCCATCAGTTGAGTTGACGCCGCAGATGGCTGCCTCGGTTCTGTACCGGAAACAGATTCCTTGTGTGTAACATCCATCCATCCATCCATTTTCCTCCGCGGGGGCAGCAGTCTAAGCAAAGATGCCCAGACTTCCCTCTCTCCAGACACTTCCTCCAGCTGAATGCCCTGCAATGTCCAGTTCATCTTATATACTGTATTATAGAAAAATCAAGTAACTTTTATCATACACTTATGGCATTTGTAACAAATTAAATGAAAATGAGTTCAATTCAGTGAGTTCTTTTGATTTTAATTGTGGACAGACCTCCAGCCTTCACACACACATACAAGCATTAGAATGATTCCCTGTACCATGGCAGCCGCACTGATGTATCGTCACATTGAACAGTAGCAGCTCATAAGAAACCATCTCGTCTGTGTGTATATGTTTATGAGTTGAACTAAACGAAATCTTTTTTCCACATTTTTGTTACAGGGAGGGACTGGTGTCAGTTGTCCAACAGTAGCTGTGAGTTCTTGTGTCTGGCAGCTCCTCAAGTAGGCAGACATCCCCCCAAATATACCTGCGTCTGTCCGGATAACATGATGCTAGCTAGTGATATGAGGACATGTGTACCTGGTGTGTAAATGATCAAATATACCATAATATATGCTCAGTTTATTAGGTACTCTTGGCTAAAACAAATGCTGTCCTTTTGTCCACCCTGTTGATATCAGTGAGGCTGGGCTAAACAATAGAACCAGTATAACAGCAACACAAACTAAAGCCTCCACAGTGATCACACAGGTGAACCAACACCTCTGTGAAACAGTCTGGACACAAAGTGAACATCATTACTTTCATAAAGGAGGATTTACTGCAGAGCTATTAGGTTAGACTCAGTCTAAGACAGGTGTTCCTAATAAAGTGGCTACTGAATGTCATCTCCTCCTCTTGTGTTTTTGTAAACCACCAACTGGGGCAACACCTGCAGCACCTGTGCAGCCTCAGGTTCCACCTACCAACCCCCCTCATCTGTCAGCCAGGACCACACCTAGGCCCCCAGTCCGCACCACCACAACAGTGCCTATCATGGTCACCAGCACTGCAGCCAAGCCAGCTCCACACACCATCAAGGCCCCTGTGAGGACCACCACACCTGAACCCATGACCCCTTCCTCCCAGTCAGTGAAGCCTAAAATCCCCCAGACCAACATAGAGGCTGCAGACACTGCACCAGGTATCTTGAATTAACATAAATGTGGTTTTAGCATGTTGTAGATGATATAGAGAAAGTTTACCTTCATGCTTTACAAGCATTAACCAAACATGGAGACAGGAAATCGTATCACGTGACTTAGGTGTTTCCTGTTGAGTAGATATCTCTCAGGTTTCACCTGCATTAATATGTTGAGTATGCAAGTTATTGCATTCATTTTCATGCTGCAATGGCCCAATCAGATTTACACTCTGTTAGGTAATTTTTTAGTCAGATAGATATTGGTTAGATATTTGTTGTATTAGAAATGTGTAGTGGAGACAGGATGTCTAGCTCAGGCTGTTAAATGCTTAGGAGATTTTAGCAGGGTGTACGTGGCCAAGGGTAATGAGATAAAAAAGTTTGATTGTCAGCAGGCAGGATGATTATTGTTATTATTATGATATGTGTAACCGTAATTGTAATCATAATATTTTCTTATGTGTAATGTCATGACATGTCACTAGATGTCATGTCAGAATGTTCTTAGATACACACCACTAATCAACATTCACACACATTGATTTTCTTCATGTTTTGACTATTGTTATGGTCAGCTCCAAGCTGGCATATCAGGTGACGTCACGGTTTGACGTCCCTGGGTAGTATGGGCTATCCCAACCGAAGTGATAAAATGTACAGGCATTAATGGTTCAGGTCTTTCATTCTTCATCTGCCTGCGCGCAGGATTGGAGGTGGAAGCTATCTGGACGTGTAATGTTAATTTTACCTGTGATTCTTTGAATAAACCAGCACGGTTTTTTTTATATATCCAAGTGGTCCGCCTCGTCTCTCTGAGTTCCTGGTTAAAAGAACCGGAAATAGCTTTCAACTCCAAACAACATGTAGTTTGCTCTGAGAAAACAGCTGTTTCATTGAGTGCCTTGCTGTCAGCTCTAATGGAGGTCATTTATATTTACTTCTCCTTCAGATGTCCAACATGAATTTCCTGCATCCATACCCAAGACTGGCTCCACTCCCCCAGTAGCTCTTTATGTTGTCTTACCTCTAGGTATGTTGCTTTGGGAGCTGCTTCACAGAAAATACAAATGATCTGAGACAGTAACAGCCAGCTCTCAGGCCTCACTTCTGGATTTCTTTTCTTCGTGTAGCGATTGTTTGTCTGGTGGCTGTTGGCGGCATGCTGCTCTGGAGGAACTACAGGCTGAAGAGTGCCAACACGATTCACTTTGACAACCCCTTCTATCAGAAAACCTCTGAGGACCAAGTGCACATTTTGAGGAGCCACAGCCCTGATGGTTACTCCTACCCAAAGGTGAGTCATTTTAATTCCCACAGCTCCCATACTCTTTACAAGCCAACATGACTGACTGCCTTTTCATTTGCTTTTCTATCAGAGACAAGTTTTGAGGTTGGATGAAGAGGCAGACAATCCAGTCTTCACAGAAAACTGACAAAGGTCAGGCAGAGTGGAAAGAAGAGGCTTGATGAGAAGCTACCTGTGACGTCTTTTAGCATTTTTAACTCACCCAGCAGACAGCTATAGAAACCAAAGCCAGTGTCAGAGAAGCTGAACAATTTTATCCTCACATACGAACAAGCACTCTACAGTGGAGAAGCCAGGGTGAAACAGTTTCAGGTTGCACATCTGCTTTTTTTTCAACCCACCGAATCATCAGATGATGGATTCCTCAGTTTAACATCTTTTAAATGTGATGCACAGTCCTGCACAGGCCCAGTTTTGCCAACCACAAAGCCAGATACTTTAATCAACCCAGCCCTGCTGCGACATGTGACCAGTGGGGTCGTGTCTGATGCTCCTCTGTACCATGATACATATTTATTTATATCAGAATAGTAGAACAAGGGCTATAAACACAGGCTTGCCCTGCAGGTTCCATACTGATATGTGCTAATATTGCTAGTAGTAGATCACTACATTTCAGAGACTCACTTTTTTGTGACAGTCATTACTTCTGCAGCTACAGTTGATGTTTCACAAAGATGACAGGCTGTCTGTCTCTGTCTGGTCTGGATATGTGGCTAATTTGTTACTGTACAGTTTTGGGAAACTAGTTAATTAGTGTTTTGTCCTTTCTAGAAGCGGCCAACAGTGATTGGCTACAGCTACAAAGGTCAGTGCACCTGGGGTCAAACAACACGCCACATACAGAGTAATGGGGATTTGTGTGCAAAAACAATTTTTCTGTGATAATGTGAACACAAGATTTTCCCTGATGAAGTTTAAAGCATTAACCAACTCTTTATTAAAACAATCACTGTTGTGGAAAAGAACCATATTGACAGATATTCACAAAATTATAGTCTGTAGGAAACAAAAAGCTATTTTATAATAAAAATAAATGCATCACATAACAGTAAAAAACTGTGAGGATGGTTGAAATTTTACTAATTTCTGTATCCAACAAAGCGGCCATGTCACGTTACAAAAACGAACGACTCGAAACCGAGAACTCGAAAGGTGTACTAATCTTTAAGAGCTTTGTCAGTAAATCACTCCCCGAGACGACCCGATGTTCTCGAGTCATGGGAAAGAATCGTTCATTGTTCGTGAACGACACGTCATTAGTGAGTGAGACGTGAGGAGCTAAGGGCCACACAGCGGACGATGGAGCTGCTGCGCTGGGCAGCTCACCACGGCTAGCTCTGTGCTGTTAGCCTGACAAGCTCTGTGCTGTTAGCCTGACAAGCTCGCAGACTGTGGACAAAGCCACATTTTTTTGCTTCTCTGCCAGTTTATGCTTGTTTAGTAGGTGTTTTGTCAAATTACTCCCACTAGCTTTATATTCACGAAGAGCAGACGGCTCCATCTCCACTGCTGAACAGTTTACCACGTGCCTTACACCAGTGGTCCCCTGAAGTGACAGATTGAGTTCATTGAGCAGGCTGAATATGTCGCACAAGTAAGCCAGGTTTGGCGCTCAAGTCACCGAGATGTAAAAGATCGTTCAGACTCAGATAATAAATAAAACGGAAATAATTAATGATTTCTTGTGCGGCCCGGTACCAATTGATCCACGGACCGGTACCGGTCCGCGGCCCGGGGGTTGGGGACTGTCATGATTCGGTTCCGCTGTTTCCGGTCAGGCTTTTATTTTTGCATCACTTCCTGTTTTGTTTCACCTCAGTTTTGGCCCTTTTATTTAATCATCATTAGTTCACCTGTTCCTTATTGTTTGCACCTGTTTTTCGTTTCCTTTTAGGCAGCGTCCTCCCACAGGACGCTGCCAGATTGTTCTAGACCCCAGCTCTGACTTTCCAGCATTCTTATCTCGCCTGATTCTCCGTGTCTGACCCCCGATACCTGTTTGTTGACTACCGTTTTTTGCCTGTGCCCTTCTAGCTCTGATTGTCTACAGTTTACCGACCTCTGTGCTTTCCCTTGACTACCCTATCTGGATCTCCTGGCTATTCCTGTCTACCGGCGCCGACCCTGGATTGTTTGATTGACCTGATTTTGCTTCTCGGACTTTGTATTATTTTTTGGTCGTTCCTAGTAAAAATATCCTCTGTTATATCGCTCGTCTGGTCGTATAATTGAGTCCACCACACAACACCGTTTGTCGTCCTTACACGGCAAACCTGACAACTACCAAGGAGCTAAACAAGATAGTACATGGCCAAATAAAAATTATTATTCTGGCTGCACTGGGTCCACTGGTTTCAGGTCTCTTACCACAGTCCAGCATGTGTGTGTGTGTGTGTGTGT